TTCGTTATGAAGAAAAAAGTTTATGTATGTATAATATGAAAAAAAAATAAGAACAATAAGAAGTATCTACTTTTTTATTCCAAAAAAAAAAAAAAAAAAAAATATAAAATAAATAATATATGCTTTAATATCATGCAAACACTTAACAAAAACTAAGATTATTTAATAAAAAGGAATAAAGAAAATATTAAAATATTTATATATATATATATTTATATATATATATAAAAAAAAAAAAAAAAAAAAAAAAAGTGTTAAGTTTTATTATAATAATTTTTAATTTTTATTGTTATGTTAAAATAATTTCATGGAATCTAAGAATATGTTCATGCTTTTTAAGCAGCACATTAAAAATAGCTATATATATATTTTCTTTAATTTTTAAATTTATTAAATGAAATAAAATAATTTTTTTTATTAATAATTTGTTATAATCATTTATAATTGTAGTGTTTTTTATATTATTATTTATACTACTATTTTTTTATTTAGTTTTATTATTAAAATTATAATTTTTTTTTTTTTTTTTTTTTTTTCTTTTTTTTTATATTCTTCATAATACTAGTAGCTAAATACTACGTTAATTATTTTTTCTTCATTAGAATAATTATCTCCAAATGATTTATAAAAAATATATTTTTTTTTAAAATATCTTATTATAATATACATGTTTTAATTATATATGAAATATAATAATATATAAATATATATGAATTTTTTTATTATTTTATTGTATATTTATTTTTTAGTTCGTTTTTTTAAAAAATTATATTAATTAGTTTCCAATTTTATATATATATATATATATATTTTTATATATTTATGAGAATTTCCACAATTTATTTATCTTTTTTTTTTTTTTTTTTTTTTTTTTTTTTATTTATTAATCTTCACATTAGATTGTTTAACACATTTTTTAAAATAAATTAAGTTGTCTTTTTTTCAATTGAGCTGATTTAATTAACATTTTTTTTTTTTTTAAGATGATATTTAAAAATGCTACCGTTTTTTTTTTTTTTNTTTTTTTTTTTTTTTTTTTTTTTTTTTTTTTTTTTTATTTATTAATCTTCACATTAGATTGTTTAACACATTTTTTAAAATAAATTAAGTTGTCTTTTTTTCAATTGAGCTGATTTAATTAACATTTTTTTTTTTTTTAAGATGATATTTAAAAATGCTACCGTTTTTTTTTTTTTTATAAAACTTTAAGTTACAAACGTAAAATAATGCTATTAAATTATTTTTTAATATAACTATTTAATTTTATAATTATTTTTTATAATTTCTTCTTTTTATGTTTTTTTTTTTTCTTTCTTCTTCTTTTTTTTTTTTATAAAGATGAATAATCTATTGAAATACAGAAAATTTGTTATAATAGAAATATTATTAATTACATTTACATATTGTATTGTATCAAATATTTTTATCAATTCATTAAATAAAGGTTCTACAAAAAGGAGTATATATGTAGAAGGGTATAATTGGGATATATTAGAAAAATGGAAATCAATAAATAAAAAGGAAAAATTAGAATATAAAATAAATTATAATATTGGGTTAAGTATAGATGCAGAAATTGGTGATTTTGGTGACTATAATTCAGATGTAAAAACTGATTTAATTTTATATAGATATAATGAAGATAAAATAATTAGTACTATATATATATATATATTTAGTGTTAAGGATAACAAATTTGTTTATTTCACTGAAGTTAGTTTTGAAGGAAAAGTTATGAATATAACAGCTATAGATTTAAATTTTGATGGTTCATTAGATATTTTAGTTTTATTTTCACACCCAAAAAATAGTAATAAATATTACATATGTGCTTTTTTTCAAAATGAAAATGAACAATTAGAAGAAGTATGGAATTCTAAGAAAAAAGAAGAATTAAATGAAAGCATATCTGATAAAGAGGAAAAAAACATATATTATTCTAATGTTCATCCCTTAGTTTGTGATATAAATAATGATGGGCTACCTGATTTAATCGGTCAACAAACAAATGGTAATAATTCTTTTTTTAGATTTATATGGATTAATAATAAAAATGGTTTCAAAAGTATCCTATGGGAAAATATGGATATTTTTAAATATAAAGAATTAGGAGAGATTAGTAATCCTAACTCTAGTGCTATAGTAGATCTAAATGGAGATTGTAAGTCGGATTTAGTATTTACTGTATATGATAATCAAAAGAACATTTCTTTAGAGATATGGTTAAATAAGATAGTAGATGGAAAAAGTATGTATATAAAAAATTCTGAGAACTACAGTCTTCCTATAAATTCATTGCAAGTTTTATTTGGAGATTTTAATGCAGATGGGTCAGTTGATTTAGTTGTGCCAACTTGTATTAAAAGACCTTTATGTAATAATTGTTGTGTTCAGGATGATAAAATATATTTTATTCCAAATTTACAGAAAAAAATATGCGATAAAACATGGAAAAAGGTAGATGAGACAAAATGTAGGCCTGCATCTAATTTATGTTCTGAAAGTGACTTTGAATTTGAAGATGATTTAGATGACGACTTTGTATCCACTGTTGATATTAATGGTTTACATTTATCTGGGAATTCAGATTATCCATATTATTTGAGTGTTGGTGATATAGATAATGATGGCTATTTAGATTTATTAATAACATTAAGAAATGATAAAGGTAATAAATATGTAAGAATATATAAAAATGAACTTAAATTATATGATAAACAACGTAGTTTAGAAATAAGAGGATTTTATAATTTTTATCAGTTTGTCACTTCACCAAGTGAATCAGTAACTGATGTTTACAATGCAGCATTTTTTGATATTTTTGAAAACGGAGTTTTAGATATTTTAATATTTGGAAAATATATAAATGATAATAAAATAACTAAGTATGCAGCTGTTGGTTTTATAAGAGATAACGAAACAGATTCATTATTTTTAAAGTCAACTGCATTGAATGGAATATGTGTAAATGATTGTTATCAGAAAAATGAAAAAATTATAACTAAAGTATTTGGTGGTAATGCACACGGTCCAACATTTAAAATAACTGTAATTGATGTTAATGGAATTAAAACAAGTAGAATTGGAATTCAGAAAAGTCAATCAGCTCATTTCCCACTTCAACTCCCTTATGTTTTTTTTGGTTTAGGTAGAACAAGTAATTATGTAGAAGAATTTTATGTAGGTATGCCTACACATGAAAAAAAATATTTTAATATGTGGGTTTCTATAATACCCAATTCTCATATTATTGTTATTCCTTATCCTTTAAATAATTCTAATAAATGGCAAATTCAACTTTCTGTAAATCCTTCAAAAAAAATTTATTCTATAATATATATTACTCTTATATGTTTAACTGTTATTGGTATACTTATTTTTATACTAGACAGAAAAGAAAAAATTGAAGATTCAAAAGAAGAACTTGGATTTAAAAGTCATTTCGTTATAGGATAAAAAAAAAAAAAAAAAATTAACATATAAAAATATTTATTAAACATAAAATAACTAAAAAAAAATATATATCCATCCTTAAGACATTTTTGATTATTTTCTCAAAAAAATAGGATTAAGAAAAAATTTAATTTACAATTTATTTTATTATAATATATATACTTTTTTTAACATTAAAATAGTTTAATATTTTTATAATAAAACTTAAGATTAATATTCTTTTTTTCATTTATCATTTTATTTTTTTAAGACAATTTTTCTTTGAATATTTTCAATGACATTATTTGTTTTTTTTTATATTTTTTTTTTTTTTTTCTTTTTTTTTTTTTCTTCTACATTATTTTTTTTTGTTGTTAATCATAACAATTTTTAAATATTTATCTTAAATTCAAAATCAATTTTTTAGTTTAACTTATTTATAAGACATATTTTTTTTTTCTTTTTATATTTTTAAATTATTAGAATTATTATCTATTTTAAAACATTATTATATTGTTACATTTATATAACAAAAAAAAAAAAAAAAAAAAAAAAAAAAATATCACATCTATATAAATTGTGAATTATAAAATTACCGAATTACTAATAAAATATTACCATAAAAATGTACATACATAAAAACAAAGGTATAAAATATTATTTATTTATTTTTTTTTTTTTTTAGTTTTTAATCTTTCTTTTTCATTAGATAATATTTTGTATATACATGTAAAGTATCCTAAAGGGTGTAAAATAGAAATAATAACTAATCATATATATAATGAAATTATTTTTTTTAATCTAATAAAATTCTATTGTTAAATGAAAATAATATAAAATATATTTAATTTTAACATAAAATTATCCTATAGTTCATATACATTTTATTTTATTTGTATCGTCATTTTCTTTTTTTTTTTTTTTGTAACTTATAAATGATTTCTGTTGTAAAGAGATTAGTTTGTTGTGTCCTTCTATGTGTTATAGTTGTAAATATTATTTAAGAAAAAACTTTTAGTTCATTATTTTTTATAATTCTATAATTTTATTTTTTTTTTTTTAAATCCAATTAATAGGTTTCTAGTTTCAATTTCAATAATGAAATAAAACAAAAAAATTACTTGGTTTTACAAAGTATTTTCTTATTTTATTTAAAATTTTATATAGAAAAAAAAATAAATTCTTTAAATTTTCTATTTTTTTTTTTTTTTTTTTTTTTTAAAATACATTATTTAAAATAAAATTTAAATATTACAAACTGTTTTTTGAAATATATTTATATACATTTTATTTTTTATAGAAGCATATATAGATTGTAAAAATTATAATGGTTATTTAAAAAAAGGAGATTATACATATAATTTTTTATTCTAATTTGTCTTTTATATGTAAATATAAAATATATTGTTTTCTAAACAGTTGTAAATAATAAAAATAAAAATCTCAGTATAAATTATGGGGAATTGGTTTAATAAATAAAAAAAAAGAAATATTTTATTAAAAATGAAATTTTTTATATAATGAGGATATTTTTTTTCTTTTTTTTTTTTAAGTATTGTAATGAAGATCCATTTTGTCAATATTTTTTATTCAATAACAAAAAAAAAGAAATAAGATTATGTTACGATAAAAAAATTGTTTTAAAGAAACCAAAATATGATCATTTGTAAAAAAAAAAAAAAATAATAAAAAAAAAAAACAACAAATTCAATTAATTTGAAAAATAAGAGAAATAAAATATATTCATTTATTTTTTTTAGATGGTTAACAAGCATAAAAGTAAAAGTTTTTGAGAATTTTTCTCCTTGTCTTGTTAATACCCAAGGGATATGTAACCATAAAGTTGATAAATTTTTTTTTAATACATTAAATGAAGCAATAAAAAAGAGAAAGGTTTTTTAAATAAGATGGAAATTATTTTATCTTTATAGGAATTATAAAAAATCTCTAAATATTTATATTGTTTATCTAAACATATTTCATTTATATTTAAAATTATATCAATTAAATAAAAAATAACATATTTATATATAGAATTAATTACAAAATAAATTAAAAATAAAGAAATGTATATCATTTCATTAGGAGATAAAAGAAAATTTCATGATCTTAAACTTTCAACCAAAAGAAAAAGGTGGAAAATAAATATAGATAAGAATTATGAAAATAGATATAGATTAAGTATTTATTATAACAATTTTATTAAAATTATCTTTTGTTTTCAGAAAAAAAAATAGAGGCATATTTTTGTGAAACGATTGATTACTTTGTTGATAGAGAAGGATATGTTGTCTTTGATTTTATTAAAATAAAAAATCCACATCAATCATGTTTAAGAACTCAAAAATGTAGTCTAAGGGGATCAGTAATAAAATATACATAGAAAAAAAAAAAGACAATATAAAAAAAAATGAAATATACATATATTTATAAAATTTCGTATAAATATTTTAAATTATCAAATATATATACTTTGTTATTATTTAAATAATTACATTCGTTTATGTTTTTTTTTTTTTTTTTTTTTAGATACAACTAGATGATAGTAAGCATGATAAAGGAATAAATCCAGGTGATATTGTAGAAGCTCATAAATTTTAAATTTTCATTTTTTTTTCCTATAATTTCTTAAAAGAACTTTTAAACTTTTTTTTTTTTTTTTTCTCTCCACACTTTGTAATAAAACATAGAACGTTAAAAAATAAATGATAAATAAAAAAGTTCAAAAATTTTTCTACTTTTGAGAATGAGTATTAACGATATTCAAAAAATAATAAGAAAAAAAGAAGAAAATTATATTTTTAATAGTATATTTAAAAAATAATTAAAATATACAGCAGTCACACATCTTCGTGTTTCGTAAATTAGTAAATACTTATTCTTCTCTTATTAAAATATTGTACAAGATATATAATAACAAATATTACTTTTAACTATTTTTACTTTAAAAAATTTCATTATATAATTATTTTAAATATTTTAAAATTGTGTTTCTATTTTAAATAATATATAAAGAAAATATATTTTTTCTTAAGTATGAAATGAAATATTTCTTTTTTTTTCCAATTTAAGTTTATCAAAATGAAGTAATATTTAAAGCCAGAAAAAAATTCAAATTATTTTACATTTTTTGATAATTATTTAATTAAATGAATATAAATAAATAAAGTAAAACACTACATATAAAAAAATATAAAAAAGCATTAAAAAATTAATATTAAAAAAAATTGTATAATAACAAAAAAAAAAAAAAAAATTTTTAATTTCAATATACAATTATATTGGTAGAATTTAACATTAATATTTTTTTTTTTATAAATAATAAGAAAAGGAAATTCTTTCTGTTGTATCTTGGTAAAATATGTTTAAAATTTATTTTTCTTTATTATTTTTATTATTAAAATTATTAATAGAAATTAAAATATAGCAAACAAAAGTATATATTAATAATTAATTTTATCTATGAATATGTATTATTTAAAAAAAAAAAAAAAAAAAAATTCATTATAAAGCAATCAAATTAATGCAATACTTTTTTATTAATTAAAAACACCTTTGTATATAAATAATTCAGTTTTTAAAGTAACAGAGATATAAATAAAATTTATTTTATATAAATAATTTGTATGCTAAATAATTAAAAAATAAAATTATTTTTCTTATTAAATTCAATGACTTTAAAAATTTTACATTATATAACATCTTTTTAATAGTAATGATAATTTTAATTTGTTAATTTTTTATTTTATTATATATGTATATATATTTATATTTGTAAATTCTTATGTAATAATATTCTTCTTAATATTTTTTAAAAAATTATATATTTGTAAAAAACATTTGAACTTTTTTACTAAAAGTTTAAATAAATTTTAAAATAAATATTAAGTTATTTAAAAGTTAAAAACAATGGTTAAATTAAAGAAAACAAGCAGAAGGCAAACATTAAAACAGAAATATGCCATTATAAAAAAAGTAGCTGCTCATAAAAAAAAGTTAAAGAAAATAATAAAGAAAACAAACATTCATAATAGAAGATCAACAAAAAATTCTTTAAAAATACCAGAGTGTATATTTAAGAAAAGCATTTTAAAAAATATCAAAACCATTGCGGAAAGTAAAAAAAATAAAAATTTGGTAAAATGTACAGAAATTAAAATTGATGATTTTAATGAATCTACAATAAAAAATGTGAAATATTTATTAGAAAATAGTTTAAAGGATGATTCGGATGATGGTATTTCAAATGAATATTTAGAAAATATGAATTTTAAAGACTATGTTCATTTAAATTTTAATATAAAGATGAAATTATTTGAAAAAGTGAAAAATGAAAATTATTCGAAATTAAATGATAAATATTTATTTATTGATAACTTAATAGAAGTAATAAGAAATAGTGATGCTCTTTTTTATATTGTAGATGTAAGAAACCCATTAATATATTTAGATAAAGATATAATTGATTTTATTAAATTATGTAAAAAGGAAATTATTATTGTTTTAAATAAATGTGATTTAGTTGATTCTGGTGTAATACAGCAGTGGCTTACATATTTTCGTAATTACTTTATAACTCTACCTTTTATATGCTTTATTAAGAAGATTCCTAATTATCTGAATAAAAACAAATTACCCGAAAAGTTATATGATCATTTTATAAATAAAAGTTACGTAAAATATATTAAAGCTCTTTTTAAAGATACAAAAATAACATATGGTGTTATAGGGCATATATATACAGGAAGAAATAGTTTTATTCATACTTTGTTAAATGAAATGAATTGTAATAATAAAATAAAAGGGACAGATATTAAAATTGATGAAAATATTAATATATATGGAAAAATTGGACTTATTTTAAAAAAAGACTTGAAAGGGATGGAATTAATTAAAAAATTGCATTCATTAGATAAAAAAGAAGTCATATCACTTTTAAATGAATTTTTATTATGCTTAAATGGGAAGAATTTAATAAAAGTGTTAAGCATTCTAAAGGAAAATCATATTATTAATGAAAACCAGCTACATTTTTCATCTAATGATAACAAATTAGAAAAGAAAGAAAAAAAAAATAGAATAATTCATTCTTTTTTATATGAAAATGGGGAAAATAATAACATAAACTCTAAGAATATGCAAAAATTATACAATAAATTATTTCTGAATAAAATTCTGTATTATATAATTCCTAAAAGTAAAATAACATGCTTTAGTGAAAATTCTGATTTTCTATATCATTTTGGTAATTTGAATGATGATGTTTATCACAAAATTGATGAATTTATATTTTCACAGAAAAAAAAATATGGTAATTATATTATAATTAAAAGCGATAAGTTTAATTTTTATACATAGTCTTAGTAAGATTTTTTTTTTTTTTATGTAACAATTTGACTGGGATCTATTGTTTTTCAATTACATAAAAGGAAGAAAAATTAATTATATATATATATATATATTATTATAAAAATATATGCTTTAAAACATTCCTTAAAAACAAATAAGAATTATTATTTTATAGTAAAACCATTATATAAATATAAATAGTTAACCTATTAATTTTCATATATCTACAAAAAGTTACTATAAATAAAACATTTTTAAATATTATATACTTCTATGAAAATTGAATACATAAATTATATTTATGAATAAAGTTTTACAAGTTATTATGTAATTTATTAAAAGTAAATACACCTTATTTGATTACTCTCATTGATATTGCTAATTTATATATTTTTTTTTTTTAATATTTATCAATTATTTTATATAATATTTTATTTTTTTTTTAGATTTTAATTAAACTTCTCTTTTTATAAAACTTTTATAAAATTAAATTTGTATTTTTAATTTTTTTTAAAGTTTTACTTTTTTTTAATTTTTATAAATAAAATCTTTCAAGTTTTTATAAATATGTAAGGTTTAAAATTATAAGAAAAAGAATTTATATAATTTATATGCACTTCTCTTTTTCCTACTTTTTTTCTTTGATAAATGAAAATCATTTCTAATTCCTAAATATTAACATTGCTATTCATAATATTTTTGTTCTATTTTCATGAATTTTTTACACGATAATAAAAATAAAGAATAAACTTATAATTTAAATAAACTATACATTTTAGTATGTAAATGAAATAAAACAAACAAAATGAGATGTAAGAAGCTTATGAACGGAATGTAAATACAGAATAAATATGAATAATCTTTAAGTAAAATGTAATATATAAGAACAATACTTAAAAGAATTATAACATAAATAAAGAATTAAAATTGCAATATACATTATAAATAACATTTTTAATTTATTGTTAAAATTTACTGAATAATTTAGAAAATTAATATAAAAAATATTTTTAACATTATATATAAATAATTATTTTATGACATTCAATATAGAAAGCAGAAAAAGAAAAATTTTTACATGTATATGTTAATATAAATTAATAATAAATAATTTTTAGGATTGAAAATTTATTTGGAATTTTTAAATATTAAATTAAAAATATTTGAAAATCCCTTTTTTTTTTTTTTTCTTTAATAAGTTTTTACTACAATTAAAAAAAAAACAAAACAATGTTTACTTTGTGTAAAGGATATAGTGATGACGAAGAAGAGGAAAAAAATTTAGTTGATTCGTTAGAAGAGAAAAAAAAATCTCTAGAAGAAAAAATAAGTTACTATAAATTAAAAGGAAAAGATGAAAGGGGAAAAATTACTATATATACTAATTTAGGAGATTTCGAAATTGAATTATATTGGTATCATAGTCCTAAAACATGTTTAAATTTTTATACATTGTGCAATATGGGTTATTATGACAATACAATATTTCATAGGGTGATACCTAATTATATAATACAGGGTGGTGACCCTACAGGAACTGGAAAAGGAGGAAAAAGTATTTACGGGGAATATTTTGAAGATGAAATAAATTGTGAATTAAAACATACAGGTGCTGGTATATTAAGTATGTCCAATAATGGACCAAATACAAATACATCTCAGTTTTTTATAACCCTATGCCCTTTGCCTCATTTGGATGGAAAACACACAATTTTTGCTAGAGTCAGCAAAAATATGACTTGTATAGAAAGTATTGCATCTGTTCAGACTACAGCAACTAATAAACCAATTTTTGATGTAAAAATATTACGAACATCAACAGCTATAAATGTTGACTAAAAAAGAAAAATTTACATAATGTATATAAACTAATAAATCTACGAAATGCTATTGTTTATGATATACTAATATGAAATTAAGTGAATTAATATACGAAAAATTAAAAATTACATTTAAAATAATATATATATTATAAGTTTTTTGTATTTGTTAATTTCCTTTTTTTTTTTTTTTTTTTGTTTTTTTTTTATTGTAGAAATCATTTTTCTTTAAATTACTTTTAACTTTCGTTAATGTAAAATTATGCAAATATATGAATAAAAATTTTAGCACAAAAGTATTTATTTTGAAACATTTTTATTTCTAACTGTAAATTCCTTGAATATAAATTCTTAAATACATATATTTTAATATTTTCGTTTTTTTTTTTTTTTCTTTTTTATTTTTATAGATATGTTTTTATTGCATTATTTTTTTTTTTTTCCCTTTATATAGAAATTTTAAAAAAGAAAAAAAATATATTTATTTGTTAAATTTTAATTGACAAAATAGGTTAAATAAAAAAAATTAAATTATCAGTTATTGTTAAATTGTTAAAATTTTTACGTTTTTAAAGTATATAATTAGAAAAATATATTTATATAACAAAAGAAAAAAAAAAAAAATCCAAAAATATTAAATGGAAAAATAAAAAAAAACAATAAAAATTCAAAAAAAAAAAAAAAAAAAAAAAGTACTAAAAATATAATTGAATCACAAAAATGATAAAAGATGAAAATTTAAGTCTTGAATCTATGAAAAAGCTAAAAAAATTAGAAGAAAAGTTAAATGAAGAATCACAAAAGAAGGAAAAAAAGAAAAGGGAAGAAAATGCTATAAATAATTATGTGAAACTAAAATCCTTGGAGCATTCATTGCCTCAAAAAATTAAGAAAAAAATTAGAACTATGAAGATAAATGACATCAATGACCTCAAAAAGTTAACTGTTACTAAAAAAAAGAAGTATTATATCAAAATATTAGATAAAAAGGATTTAAAACATAAGAAAAAAAAAAAGACATGAATAAAGACGTATTTTATATGTTATAATTTATATATAGCTTTTTATAATAAAGGGGAAATATTAATGAGTGTTTTTTAATTTCCTTTTTTTTTAATATAAATTTATACAAAAATATTAATTTTTTATGTGAATATCAGTATTAAGTAATATTGACTAAAATATATACTTTTTTTCATAATCATAAAGAACTTTATTCTTATTTTTTTTTTTTTTTTGCTTTTAATAAAAACTATTATAATAGTATTAAAATGTTATGATATATATGAGTTTATGTAGATATATATATTATAAATTTACCTAATTTGAATGGGAATATCTTGATGAGTATTTCTCCAATCAAACTTCTCTCCATTTAATGGTATTATTTTTCTAATGTTTTTTATTAATTCTTTGTCTAAATAAATTAAATGAAAATAATTAAAAGGTTATATTATATATATGTTCTTGTTTTTGTTTTGAAGAAAAAACTATTGAAAATATTTTTATATATTGAAATTATTTATTAAAAATATATAAATTTCGTTTTATTTGTTATTCATTGTAATTCCTATAGCATTTTTTTTATTTTTAATCAACGATATAATAATAACTATTACTATTACTATTGTTTTATTTTAAAAAAAAAAATATATTTTTTTTTTTTACTTGTATTGATTAAAAAATTATTCAGATCATATAATGTGTAATTTTCACATTCACCTATAGCGGATAAAATGTTTGAGGCAAATTTTTCAATATCCTAAGTATAAGACAAATATATAAATAATTAAAAAAATATTTAAATGTACATGTTATGTTTTTTCTACTTTGAATTATCATCTTTTTAATAATACATTGTTGACTTGAACTTTTTTTTCAAATGTTTTCGTAGTCTTAAAATTTATACTGGCATCTTCAAAATAAGTAAGGGCTATATCGATTGTACCCTTAAATTAATTTAAAAAATTAAATTTATATTTTTATTAAAAATATTATAAAAAAATATGTAGATATATATTTCATTAAAAACAAATAAAATTAAAATTTTATTTTTACATTTAGTAAAATTTCTTCATCTGTAGGTAAAAAATTAACATTCCACGAGCTTCTCCATGAACTAGTACTGAAAAACAGAAAAAAATTGATATTATTATATTTTGTTATTAATAAAACTATAATTAGTGTTGTTAAAATTTTTATTAATTTAGATATTATTGTTATTGCATTGTAATAAGTTTTTTTAAATGTAATCATGTAAATATTTGATTTTAATTTTACTAAAAATTTTTTAAATAGTGTCTATCACAACATATGATAAAAGACAAGTTAAATTTTTGTTCTTTTTCACAAGCATAAACGGAGGAATTGCATTTTACTATTAATCCATTTTTAGAATTTATATTTACAGTAGGAAAATTTATTGTTTGTATTTCATTCCACTTTAAATAATGTAATTGAATATATTTTTCTAGTTTTTCATAACAAATTTTTCTATATAAAAAAAAAATTATAAAAAAAAATTTTGGTATTAAAAAATATATTTTTTCTTATTTTTTATAATTTATTAGAATATTTTGAAAATTATTATTTCTAAATGTAGCTTTAAATACATTTACGTTGTTTAATTTTTTTTTTTTTTTTTTATTTTTGTCTAACCTATAATTCTCTAACTCATTAGAATAGTTTAATTCTTTTAATTCACTCATTGATGTTACTTTCTGAAAAAATTAAATTTTTAATTAATTTCAAAAGTACTTAGAATTATTTTTTAATATATTATTTATATGTAATTTTAATTAGTTACTCTTTTCATATGATTAACATTGACTAATAATTTTAATTTTGGGTGAATATAAGAATTATCAATTTTTGATTGTTCACAAGTTATTATCTATTTTATAAAATTAAGAGTATATATATATTTATTTTTCACTTAAGTTATTGTTTATATAATTAATTTTATTAAATTTTTTTTTTTAATATACATAATCATTTTCTCCAACAGGAATAAGAGCATAATTATTTTCATTATAATTTAGTATAGCCTCTTTAATTGAATTCAGAATAAACTGATTAGATCCAAATAGTACTTTTAAATCTATACAAAGGAATACATATATATGTATTTAGTTTTTCTTATTATAAACTATTTAATATGTTTTTTTTTATTATATATTTTATAATCCTATTTATTTTTATATTCTGAATAAAAATTTTTTTCTTTAAATATTTTATTATATTTTTTTATTTCTTTTTTTTTATTACAAAAAGATAATAATCTTATATACATTTTTTACTCTAAATAAAGTGTAATAAAATTTTTATTTAATAAGAATATATATATATAAAGCTTTTTAAATATATACATATATATATATATATATTTAAACCTGATACTAAATCATAGATTTTTCCGGGAGGCGCATTTAATATAACATGTCTAATAAATTTTTTCTTTTCATTTAATAGTTTTTCCATTATATCTAATATGTTTAATACTTAAATATTTATCATAAATTACTATATATAATTCTAGATTTTTTTTTCCTTCTTTCTTTTTTGAATTAATTTAATTAGAACTATAAACATATGTTCTTATATCAAAATTCATTAAATTTTTTATATATATTTATAAATAAAATATAATAATTTTAAAAATATAAAATAAAAAAATATAAGAATACTTACATTTTATAAAGTGTATTTAAAAAAAAAAAAAATTCAACTAGAACCTTATGAATTATAAATGAAAAAAATTAAAATGTAAAATGAAAATAATTTATTAATATAATTAATAGCTAATAAAAAAAAAAAAAATAATTGAAGTTATAATAATATGCGATTAAAACAGTCTAACAATAGTTAACACAAAATGTCTTTTTTTTTTTTTTTTTTTTTTTTCTTTTTAANTTTCCTTTTTTTTTTTTTTTTCAATATGAAAAAAAGAAAAACATATAAATATTTTAAGGAATAAACGCAAAAAAAAAAAGAAAATAAAATAAAATAGAATACAATACTTTTATTCTAGTAATTTAGTAAATAATTTTTTTTTTTTTTTAAATTTAAAAGAAAAAAAATGTAGAAGAGTAAACTCATCAATATTCTTCATACTTTCTTGGAAATTTAATATATTTTTTTTAAATTCTATATGTATTTTTAATAATTATGTGTAATGGAAAAAAAAGTAGAACAATTCAAATATTTGCATAAAAAGAATGAATTAAAATATATTAAAAATGTATATAAAAGAGTTTCATTATTTCATATTTATAGTAAAATTAAAACATATATTTTCAACAAATTAAAGTTAAAAAAAAATTTCTCCTTAAGAAATAAATTATTGTCTTTATTTTTAAACAAAATGTAATGAAAGATGTGAGTATCAGAATATGTATCACTAAATAATAAAATGGATAATAAAGAAAAAAAAAAAAAAAAAAAAAAAAATT